TAAGAAAAAATAAGTTTTGGAAGACGACTGAAATGAATGAAGGATTCTGTTTTGTGATATACACAGTAGGTCTCAATGTGCCTAGCACTGGAAAGTGTTTTTGTCGTTGCAATAATTATGATGCGATACACGGGTACAAGTGGTATTAACACTTTATGATATGATTGTGGCTTACTCAGAAATTCCAACCTCTTATCTGTTAAATATTTTCTGTGTTTGATATGTGTTTAAATATGAATTACCATGTCTCCATACTTCACTGCAAGTAACCCTGTTTGTTTTTCATCACTTGAAATTGTGTTACCTTATAAGCGTACAAACAGAAGATGTCAAGATTGAACTGAACCCAGAAAGGGTTACAGTTTGCCATACATTTGTGATTCTCTCCAACCCCTCCTTGCAAATGTGAGGTACATATTGACTGAATGAAGTGCTTCTTACTGTTCACTGACTTGCAGTTTGTAATGACCCTGACATTAAGTATTGTTTCGTTTAGCTCTCGAGGAGAAGTGCCAGTTTACTAGACATGTTCATCGTCACCATCTTACGAGCTCTTGGCTTTATACTTAGCTTTGAAATGTATATATTTGTCATGTTTTATTCAGATCCGGCTTTCAGTTTTTATGATGAATAAGGTAAATTTGGGAATTATTTCACTTTACTTCCTCACAGATATACTTACGTCTGGCAGTTATGTGTGCATTTGGGTCACCAGGTATAACTTGTGTTGTCACTTTCTGGCCGTTTGAAAGTTGTTGCTGAGCTCATCCTTTCTATTAATCAAGCTGATGTCTGTTGCACAGTTTAGTTCTGCTTTGTATTTGCAGACTGAAGAAGTCTTCTGGGAAAAGTCAGTTGTTAGATTATTTTCCATTTGTCAACTTATATGACTAGCATACTGTATAATTAACTGGATTGTTCTTGAAAAGCTGATCAAAAAATTATGTCTTTTTCTTCCCANACTTTACTTCCTCACAGATATGTACTTACGTCTGGCAGTTATGTGTGCATTTGGGTCACCAGGTATAACTTGTGTTGTCACTTTCTGGCCGTTTGAAAGTTGTTGCTGAGCTCATCCTTTCTATTAATCAAGCTGATGTCTGTTGCACAGTTTAGTTCTGCTTTGTATTTGCAGACTGAAGAAGTCTTCTGGGAAAAGTCAGTTGTTAGATTATTTTCCATTTGTCAACTTATATGACTAGCATACTGTATAATTAACTGGATTGTTCTTGAAAAGCTGATCAAAAAATTATGTCTTTTTCTTCCCAGGAATCTAGAATTCATAATCAAGTTTATCACCACTGAACCTTGTCTTGTGCCAGTTGGATCCAGTCCACAGTTTTATTTCCTTCATGTGGCATACATATCACAACCATCTCATCTTTTTTTTTTTTTTAAATATTCCCTCACAGTATTCTTACTCAGAGAAGAATATAACCTAGCCACATAGATGCAGCGTAACTGAAAGGGTAGTGAACGCTGATATTTATTGAGGATCATGTCATTTGGCTGAAATTAGTAATGAAATTGTCATTTCTGTTCCAGTCATGGTTATAGCTCTACCTGTCATTTTGTCAGAGGGCTCGTTCTGTTAGACCAGATGTGACAGCTGAACGTTACCACTCCTCCTTTTTGTCTGGGACATCCCCTGTTCAAATGTTACACCAGTGGCCGGCTGTCCTGGCTAAATTATTGGTCACCGTTACTCCCTGGTATTTCTTGAGATGGTACCTTAAACTAGGTCATGAGCACTTCCTTTGATGTCCTGCCTGATTCATGATTCACAAATCATGCTATCATTTTATGTTACACAAATTAAGCTGTTGAATAAGCACTGTAAAATACACCGTGAATCATTTTGTATTTACAGTCAGCTCTTGCTTATTTTTCAGTGTCCTGCAGTGCGGACATGACTATAAAGTTGTGGGACTTCCAGAATTATGAGTGTATCAAAACAATGCATGGGCATGACCACAATGTATCAAGTGTAACTTTTATGCCTGGTGGAGACTTCGTTGTTTCGTCTTCAAGGGACAAGACTATAAAGATGTGGGAAGTAGCAACAGGGTAAGGGAAATATTGTTTGCAGTTTAATGTTGTAACATTATGTGCCATTTATACTATAGCTTCCTTTCTTTGCAGTTGAGTGTGTATTCTCTTTTTGTTATCAGTATATAAAATTTCTGCATTAACAGTCACGTTCCCATGAAATTGGACATCTTAAGTGTAACCACAAGTGTCCCTCCTTATATTTCAGTAAAATCACTGAATAATTTTAAAATTTAAAATTCCTTTGTTCTAATTTTAAGGTGATTTCAACTAGGATGAAAGTGTCATCTAAGAAAGAACAACCTATGTTCGTACCTTGCATACGTCTCAGGCCATTACTGGACGGTTGCCACCCCCCACATTTGTGGGTTATTGAAATTTGAAATAAGAATTGTATGTAGCATGCTTAGCAAAACAAAGAAATGATGAAGAACTTGACAGAAAAGAAAATCCAGTTCATGTTCTGGTATTTTGGCTACCCTAAAGATGGAAAGAACATGTTATTAACCACATACCAGACAGCATGGTGCCGTAACTCCAAAGACCATAATATGAATCAACACTGCTTTGAAAACTTCAAATTTAAAAGAAAGTAAATTTTCATATTGTAAGTAACCAGCAGTTCTCCAACATTTCAAAAGTTTTGTAGCGGTGAGAAAGTTATGTACTGGCGAGAAGGTTCCCCAGTTTATTTTCCTTGATAATCATGCTATTGTGGGTCATCTTGCAGCATTTCTTTGTACTCTTGTCCAGCATATTTCTTTCCTTATCACTTGCTCCAGTTATTCAAAATACCTTTTTTATGAAATTCATTTGCATTTGTGAATCTGGTGAACTAATATTCCAAGGCTAACAGAACCATGAATGTGAATTATGGTCTCTTACCCCTAGGGAAGAACAAAGATNTAGACCCATGAATGTTGATTCTCATTATCTGTGATTAAAGCGAACATACTTCTATCTGGATGACATGAATGTGAATTATGGTCTCTTACCCCTAGGGAAGAACAAAGATTTGGGGTATATGAGAACAAGGTGTTTTGGGTCTGAGAGCAAGGAATTAAAAGGAGGAGTAATAGAAATGCATAGTGAGAGGCTTCGTAATTTGTTTACTTGGTCAGGTATTGTTAGGGTCATGAAATCGAAGATGATGGGTGCACTGCATTGAGGAAATGAAAAATGCAGACAGAATTATAGTTTGAAAACCTGAAGGAAAGAGACCACTTGAGTGAAAGACCTCACTGAGGATAATATTAAAATGGATCTTAAGTAGGGTGTAAGGGTGTGGACTGAATTCATTGTCATGATAGGTCAGTGAAAGGCTCATGTGAACATGGGAACACATTCTTGGAACCCTGTTGTACCCATGGACGAGAATTGCATTATACAGCTCAAAATGAGGGAAATTTGTCCTGTATTGAAGTTAACTTTGAGGATGTTTTGTTGTAATCAGTATTCGACATTGTCGTGAAAATTGAATGTGGTTTATCCAGTGAATCTGTTGTTGCAGATACTGTGTAAAAACATTCACAGGACATCGGGAATGGGTGCGTATGGTTCGCGTTAATGCAGATGGATCTTTGATTGCATCGTGCTCCAATGACCAGACCATTCGCGTTTGGGCTGTAGCTAGCAAAGAATGCAAAGTGGAGCTACGCGATCATGATCATGTAGTGGAATGCATTGCCTGGGCTCCTGATGTTGCGAGTTCTGCCATTAATGAGGCAGCGGGAGCTGATAATAAGAAAGGAGCTCATGCAGGTCCTTTCCTTGCCTCTGGGTCAAGAGATAAAACCATAAAGGTAATCAACATGAATACCACATTAACCCAAATATAATATGGCATGTTCTCACACTATGGTGTCTGGAAACACAATGATAATTTTATATTCATGAACATATAGTAGATTATAAAATGCTCTTCTGGAGGTAATGTTTTTATGTTGGCAGTAGTGCTCTGCAGATAATGTTTTTAGAGTGGGTAATGCAGTGGTTCCATATAGTTCTCTCTCTTTTATTCAAGATCAAGGAAGTATGCATCATATAGTGTAGGAAAAAGTGATGCTGTGTGTGCAGTACTGGATGCAGTGGGTAGTGTTTGGTACAATATAGTTGGCAGCATCAGATGGTCAGTGCTTTAATATGTCTACACATTACTTCATATTTGTCTGTGTTAGAGCAGGAAAGTGAAACACATTTTATAAACTCCCATAATATCAACGTTGTACTGTATTTGAACATCAGTATGTTTATGATTCTCAAGTATTCACTCTTAGTGAAATGCAAGTTGGTCAGTGCTAGTATTCATACAAATACATTTTTCAGAAAAAGAGGTTATCACCTTGTATTCAGATAAATGTGGTAATGTGCAAGAATCTGCACTTGGTCATTTGTGGTGTCACTATGTATGGGTGATAGGTGTTCAAGTGTGTGCTGGAATCAACTTTGACAAATACCGCTATCAGTCAACCTGTCATTCTATTCGTCAATGACGGTGTTAGTTTGACACCAACATATGTGTTGTTAGTTAAAGTTGTCCAGCATCATTAATAATCATCAAACATCACAGTGTCACCTGAGATTGTCTGTTGACCTCTTGACTACACCATGAGTTCTAGCACCCTTTCATGTGGATGTGAGTAGTGTGTGCCCCTCCTACCAGATCAGCAGAGCAGATTGTGGCAGGCTATCAGATAATCTCCCTGTATTTCCTGCTCTTATCTGATATCTTGGTTTCAGATTTATATGTACAATTTTATCATAAATGTGATATTAAATCAATGCCAATGAAACACATTTTCTTAAATTGATTTTTACTCTTCTGGACAGGTTTGGGATGTGGGCACAGGTATGTGCCTGTTCACATTGGTGGGCCATGATAATTGGGTGCGTGGTGTGGTATTCCATCCTGGTGGTAAATTTATTGTGAGTGCCAGTGATGATAAGAGTCTGCGGGTTTGGGACACACGTAACAAACGATGCATGAAGACACTTGAAGCTCATCAGCACTTTTGTACTTCACTTGGTAAGTATGCTGATGATCCTCTTGAATACAGTTGATTCATTCTGTGTATGGGAAAGAAAGTGGAAATTGCGATATTTCTAGTTGCCTCATGGCACATCATAATATAAAATTCTGTTAACTGGATATAAACTCCCGTCCAAGTACAGGGAGGTCCTTGAAGAAGTAAAAGTGTATGCACTGTGGCAACACACACTCCACATAAGGGCAGGTCATGGGAAGAAAAGAAAGAAAGGAATAGGAACATGAAACAAATGCAGTATATGAGACCCATGGTATTTTAGCGTGGATGGCGCAACAGGAAGTAGGGATCACATGAACTCTGCATTTCCGCGAGTGGCGTCACATACCCCCACTCCTTCCATCACTATACAACACTCGGTAAATACCCCTCCCCTCTAGGCTGTGATGTCACGCGACAGGGGAGTCCGTACAGCGAGTGTTGCTAGGCAATCTGTAAACACGGGAAGCGAAGTGCATTTTCCGCTGTCCACCTGAGGGTTTATAAGAGAAACTGGAATGCCTAAGGAGTTCACTTGCAGTCTAGTATTTGCTGGAGTCAGTTGAAATGCAGCAGCTGCTGAAGCCAGTTAGTATTCGGAGTATTCAGTATGAGTTGGAGTCTGCAGAGTTGCTGAGTGAATTGATTCAAGACAGCCTGGAAGTGACTACACTGCAAATGGCAGTAATTGTGAATTGTGTAAGTGTAAGAGCGAGTGTACAATAAATTTGCTAAGATCCAAAACAGCATGAAGTCATTTGTCGCGTCACAAACACCCAACACTGACAGTATTCAGTTCAGTTCAGTTATTCAGTATTGAGGGGGTGGGTTACCCCATGCACCGCGACCAGTTTGATCTATTGTGCGTCCCCCTTTGAATTTCTACTGTCTCCATACCCTACCGGTACTAGTGCTGGCTATCATTCCCTTTCTGCCAGTGAGGTTTCGGCCTTCTACTGGCAGTGGTATCTGATAGTTAGTCCCTTTCTGTCAGTGAGGTTGTCCCTCCTCTGGCAGTGGTACCTAACTTCCCCATCTACCGGAGGCATTGGAAACTACTTGGGCGGGAAATTTGCCTAATTTAGCTCAGAGGTCTCGTAGAGACATAAGGTTCTTTTACGTGCCATAAATCTATGACACGGGACCCATGGCTTAAATTCCCTCCCGGAGGACTTGTTCCCTGAATTTTTCTGCCCTTAAAAATTCCACGACCTCTGCCGGGTTTGAACCCGCATACCTTGAGTCATGAGGTGGGAACGTTACCCCTAGACTACGGAGGCCGCTTAACACTGACAGTATGTTTATACCAGAATTTTGTTGACTGAATTATAATATACATACATACTCTAAATCTGTCATTCCATTCGCAAGAGACTTTAGAGCGTTTATTGCTTCTTGCATTTCCTTTAGGGCAAAGAGCTTTGGTCGTTGGTGTCTTTGTATGGGCTCATTTAGAAGTGAGTTTACTTCTTGTACTTGATTGTTGTTGTGTGGAGTGAATACTTCTTGTAGATGATGTGCAAATAGGTCGGCTTTTTCTCTGTCGCTTCTTGCCCTGTTTCCTGGGGCTGACGTCAATTTGTGTATTGGTGGTGATGCTGACATGGGCTTTCTTTTGTTTGTTATTGGTTTCCAGGTGAAATTGTCTTGTCTTATGAGGCTTGTGATGTAGTTCTCAAATGATTTGTTCTTTAATTCATGTAATTGCGTTTGTAACTTACTGCTGATTTTGTTGCATTTTGCTCTGCTTTCCAGAGTGGGTGTCCTCTGCCAGGTTGATCTAGCTCTTCTCTTTTCGGCTATTAATTTTTTTGTTCTTGACGGTACGTTATTTGTAGGGTTCTTTGGATCATTTTGGGGGGTTGCTGTTTTGGCAGCTTCTTGTAGTAGGGTGATGAACTTTTTTACATTTGTTTTCTATGTTGGTTGGTTCTTTCAGCTTGACTTTTAGTTTTGTGTTGTCTTCTATTATTTTCTTGAAGAGATCCCAGTTTGTTTTGGAGTTGTGAAGTCTGGGCTTGGATTTCCTTAGTACAACTGATGTGCTTATTGTTGCAATGATCGGAGTGTGGTCCGATGTTAGGTCAAGGTTTGCAGTTGCGTTTGTTTAGTTAGGAGAGATGTCGTTTGTAATGGAGAAGTCTAGTAAGTCAGGAATTTCATTTTTATCGGTGGGCCAGTATGTTGGTGTTCCAGGTGATAATGATGGAGTAATTGTTATTTTGGGTTGTCTTGTGTAGTTCTCTGCGTTTTGTTGTTATGAGTCTTGAGCCCCAAGGTGTATGCTTGCTGTTGTAGTCTCCGTCAGCTATAAATTTTGTACCCAGGGTTTGGAAGAATGACTCGAAGTGGTTTCTCTCGAGGTTATGGCGGGGAGGACAGTAGACTGCAGAAATTGTGAAAGCATAAGGAAATGTTTTGGCTTTGATGGAAGTGGCTTGTATGTGATCTTTTTCATATTTTGGTAGTTCATGATGTTCGATTTTTTCTTTGATTAGGATTCCCGTGCCTCTGTGGGCTTTGTCTTCGGGGTGGTTTGTATGGTAAAGTTTGTATTTAGGGATATTGAAGTAGCTTCTGCTGGTGAAGTAGATTTCACTGATTAGTTGGATGTCGATTGAGTTTGTGTTTAGAAATATTTTTATATCTGTTTGATTTGTTAGTAAAAAACTTACAGGTCACATTGGATGGAGTGATTTATATTTGTAATTTTTATATCTTCTTGATGATTTGGAAGTCCATTGGTGTTCCATTGGGTTATTCTTAGGAATTTGGCCATTTATTTCGTTTTGTTGACGATTGTTGTTAGCATGTTTAGTACCACAGTATTTTGTTGTGATAATTGTTGAATTAAATTTTTGAATTCGTTTATGAATTTTGCTACTATGTTAGTTGTTTCTTCTCTTTGGGATAAATTTCGCTTTGTGATTTCTGCATAGCTTCTGGGTTGAGTTATTTCTAAAGGTTATATATTTGTTGTGTAGATTGCTGGAGTAGTGGGTCTTTGGGAAAAACTTCTGTTGATATCTGTGGTTAGCTTATGAAAGTGTTCACATCCTCTGTAGTTTGCGGGGTGGTTTCTTCCGCATAGTGCGCATCTGGCTGGTGTTTCCCTTGTCTTCTTTCAGTCTGTTGTATTGTGTGGGCCGCCGCATTTGACGCATACGTATGGCTTATTGCAGTATGTTTTTGTATGGCCCTGCTGTTGACATCTCGTACATTGGATTATATTTGTTTTGTTTGAATGGGGGGGGGGTCCATTTTTACTATTCTCTTTTGGAGTCCTGTTATTTCATAGATATTTTTGTTGTTTTGGGCTGGTTCTAGGTCTACAAAGAATAGGTTCAATGGCTCTCTAGTAGCTTTATGATATACATTAATTATATTTCTGACTCTGTGTCCTAGTTCAGCTAGTTCTTGTTTTATGTCTTCTATTTTTGTTGAGTGATGAAGGTATCTTATTACTATTCTATATGTTCGTTCTTCTTTCAGTTGGTAAGTGTGGTAGTATATTTTTTGTTCGTTGAATTCTCTGATCATTTTTTGTAGGTTTCTGGAGTTTCACAGTTTATTTTGACAGTGTTGTTTGCTAGACTTGGTGAAGTATAGCTCTTGTTTGGCTATTTTTTGGATTCGTTTTATCATTTCAGAGTAATTTTATACCCCATGTATGAATATTGTCGGTGGTTTAGGTATTTTTGGTGTTATGGTGATTTCACTGTTTGAGGTTCCTGGTTGTTGAGATAATGGGTTGTATCGGCTGTTGGTTTCTATGTTATTTGTGGTGCTTTTTGGTTGATTGGAGGTTTCTCTTCTCTTTGTGCTTCGGATTATTTTCCATTTGTTATTGTTATTTTTCTGTGTTTCTTCTTCTTCTTTTATGCTGGATGAAGTCATTTTTTGTATGTGTTGACCTCTGTAATTTATTTTGGGTGGTTGCATTTGTTGTTGTACTGGTGTTGTGTAGTAATTGGGGGGTAGTTGCATCTGTATCACTTGCGTTTGTGATGGTATCGCAGTTGGTGAAAATGGGTATGTTGTGGGTTCATGGTTGGACAATGTATGTTTGGTGGGATATGATTTTGTTGATTGGTGATCCTATTTTTGTATTCTGGTGTGATTTCTGCAGGATGCATCATTGTAGTTATGAATTGTTTACATTACTATCGTACCTGCTGGTTTGAGGTTCCTGTTCTTGGTTGATTTGCACTGTTTATCACTATTTGTCACTATTTTTTTCGTTTAGAAATTAGTTCATTCGTAGAGCCGGTTCTCGATGCGTGTTTACGATTTGAAGCCCAGATGAGTAGTGATACTTGCAGCTGTCTACTATTCAGGAGCCATTCTTTGTAGTACTGGTGGTACCCACTACATGCTGCATGCTCACAATTCCACATATATTCATCCTGTAATTTCTTGCATGTGCATAATAATATTAAAATGAATCTTAACCAAATTGGCAATGGACTGGCTTCATCTGGCCAGCTGTAGAGTGTAGTGGTGCACCTGTGTTAATGTGCTTGTGAACCTTTGGGAGAGCTATCAACTTCCCAAGGAAGATTCTGCTGTGTAGTTAAAGTGAAACTAGAAAAAATTTTCGTGCCTGCTTTTGGTGTAACTTGAAGCTAGGCTTGCAGATTTTCTACAGGAAATACTTCATCAGAAACTGTGATACTCTGTGTCAGATGTTGTGAATGCATACCACATTTATCCTTTCATAATTATTCATGTTTCATATCTGATTCCATGCAACAATTGCAGCTGATACAGAATCATTAAATTAAGAAATGTAAGCCTTCTATTATGGATATGAAATGTTTTTAAACTTGATCATGGTCATTGGCTAACATTCATCTCAGAATTTTAGCTGCCCACTGATCTGCCAACCCTGTAGTTTAATGTTTCAGAACGTTATATGAAAAATTGAATCATTCTGTGTTTCAGATTTTCACAAGACTCATCCATATGTAATTTCTGGCAGTGTAGATCAAACCGTGAAGGTATGGGAATGTCGCTAACCACTCTCGCCCGGTCAACTCATGAATGGGTGGACATGCAGCTGAACATCGTATCAATAATATAATTATTATATACAGTGTTTCTGTACCCTTCTAATTTATATACAAACATAATATTATGAACTTCAGTTTGCTTGTGGTATAAAAAGAGATGTTCTCCCCATTTTGTGTTATGCATTGCCACTTCAGAAGCTTTGCACCAACCAGTTGGACAGGAGGAAAGCAGAAATGTCCATTGAACCCATTGAAAGTATGTAGCAAGAGCTGCCTGTAAGAGAAAAACATAAAAAAAAAGGCCATGAAATCAGACTGATGGTGTCAACATTTTAAAAACTCTCCTGCACATAATGTTAGTCTAAAATGTATAAGATATGGAAAATTGGTTTGCCCATTGGAAAATTAACACTTTCAAATGCTACTTTATTTTTCTTTATAGAGACATCACTGGACAACGTAGTTTTACAAGTGAAGCTGAATGTCAGGAACCTTGGCCTATACTTGGCTATCCTGTCTTCATTCTGTACTATTGCCAAATTTCCTGTTGTGTTTTGTGTTGGTATAGTTTATGTTGCACAACATACAGTAGACATTCACTGAGTTGAGATTTTTTAATAAATACATTATTTAACAACAGTATTGTGGCAGTTACAGTACACCTTTTGAGTTTTCTTGTTATATGCTAATTTAACTGTTTAGACTATAAGTTCTAAACGTTCTGTTTTCTTTTTCCCATCTTAGCTCTTAATGGAATATTGTCTTTTTACATTAGCACATTTCCATAGCTTTTCTTATCACAGGAGGGTAAGAAAATGCATGAAATATAAATAATAATGTAGGAGAAAATAATTGTGAAATTTGATCCTCAACATGAATATATATGACAGTTGCAAAACTGATGTTGAATTTGGAACACAAAATTAGCTAGAATGCATCAAGGTGAAATGAAACCTTTATATAGGTACCAGTTACTTCACTCTCCTTGTGCAAGCTGTGTATGTTGCTGGTTCTGGTGTGCATGTAAATTCAGTAATTTTTTTATAACTCAGTATCCTGCAGAGATGTTCTAAACATGCCATGTTAAGAATGGAAGGCTTGTATGTTGCTACAGTGATTGTTAGTGTTTTTATTAGTCCTGAAGTGCAATGTTGTAGTGTTTCCAGTTCTGACAGGCAGTGATATGAACAGATTGGTGGTATGCACAGAGACATGTCATAACACAGCTCCCTGTCCAGACTTTTGTGTGTTGAATATGTTGTCCCAGTAACATGTACAAACAGAAGGTTATCAGGTTGCTTTAGCATACTAACTTTTTCCCCTCCTTTGCTATGTTTGTCAGTCTCTAGTCGTTAGCCTTGTAATTATTGCAGTTTCTTCTTAGATTTCATCTGCATTTGTGATATAACACAAGTTGAATACTATATAGCTATATTAGTTCAGGATCTACAATATTAGTATTTATTGACATTCGTATTTTGAACTCCTTCATAGGTACCTCCTTCATAAGACTGAGCTGTGTACAGAAAATACAAAATTATTGACCTTTGCAACCCATTTATTCAAACAAAATTTCACCAAGTCTTTGGTGTGTTTGATCTTCAGAATGGTTTTGAAGAAAAGTATTTCAATCAGTTTGTGTCCTAAGTGTGGAGCCAATTTTAATTGGAAAGGTCTGATGAAGAGTGAGTGGAAACACACTGGCATGTGACTTTAGTGTGATCTTGAATTGATTAAGTCATTATTCTCTTGTCATTTCACAGAAGTGATATATTTAATTCATCCAGATTACTGTAATGTCATCTGTACCAAAATTTTTATTTTCAAATAGAAACCATCCTGTATATCTGACAGTTTTGATTATTGTAGGAAGGCTGATTAGAGTTATTCTTAAAACAGTTCATGTATCACAGCATACAGGAATATATGATGTTTTGACTAGGTAATCACTGGAGTCTTTGATACTTCTGATTTAATATATTAGTCACGTGAGTACAGATCTTCATGCTGTTAATGTGCTTGCAAAGTTGCCATCACATTTGCTCTACAGTATAGTACATGTACCAGGGTGGGAAGAAAGTCCACTATAATGGCTTGAAATCCTTGTTATGAGTCATACTAAATAGGAAAAGAGGATACTTTTTAGAATTCTAATCCTCCAAGACATTTCAAGCTTTTTCATTTGAAACTTTTGTCCTTTATTTTCATCATGTATGTATTTCAGTATAAATATATGCATGGTATGATGCTACACATAGTACTCATTGAATTCTAACTCTGAACTGTTTTCCATTTATTCATAACCAGTGTCATCTTGTATTGTGTACAATGCCAAAAGGGATGGGGCGTAGAAATGAAAATTCTGATTTCTTATAGATAAGCCGTTTATCCTATTATTGCACTTAGTTGGTACTAATCCTTATGAATAGATAAGCCGTTTATCCTGTTATTGCACATAGTTGGTACTAACCCTTATGAAGCAGGTTTACCTTTATCTAACATGGGTTTCAGGATAATGTATTATGGTATATTTCCTGTGACAATCATATTGGAACTTAAAGTGAAGGAGTATAGCTCCTGTTTATTATGACAGAAGAAACTTTTAAATACAGTGTTTGTTCTGTAGGTATCAAATTTTTGTGGAAACCAAGTTTCCACTTTCTGCAAGGGATATATTACAAATTTTGGACTTTCTTTCCCAAGAGTTCATTTTCTTTTTTTGCAGTTCATAAAAGCAAGAATCTTACACAGTAAAAATTTGGTAAGTCTTTGCTTAAAGCATATTTTTAAGCACTTTTTAGATATGAATGCAAAAATTTCCTATATCCTATGTTATAAATCTAAAATCTTCACTGCTAATGGTTTCTGTTTGACAGTAAATTCTACTATCATTTTCAATGTTGAAGTCATTACAGAAGTCTGATTAATCCAAAATCCTAATCTCCATCAAATGAAACTACATATGCAGCCTGGAATTTAGTAGTTTCTACTTCTGTTTGTATTGTAATTTTGTTGGCATTATTGCTGAAAGTGCCAGGCAGTGTTCAGGTTATTAAACATAAATTGTCACACAAATTTATAATTAAATGTGATTAAACATTTCAGTTAGGGACAACAGATGTTTGTTAACAGATATTTTTATTAGCTGCCACAAATATCATTCGGTGCTCATCCATCTCACCTGATTATTCTGCATGTAGTTGTATACAGACTAATTGAGCAATGTACCTGGGTTCCAGTCACATTACTTTGCAGAAATAAAATATTATGTGTGTGACAGTTTGCTTATGTGAACTGTTATACAGAGCCTGTCTGATGGGGATGTAGAAGCAGACTACCTTATATGCTGTTTCTTGTACTAGCCATCTAAGTCATATACTAAGAACTGATGTTATCTGACCACTAAACCAAGCATAGAGGCTCCACAGTACCTAGGCTGTTGTATCTCTCACAGACAACTTATTCCAAGCATTTTATTGCAGATGTTTGTAATTATAGCTACAAAGTGATTGTTTTATGTAAATTAGAATTAGCGAGAAAAAGAGGATCTATTCACAACCCAGAGCAGAGGTCTGTAAATGCTTTGGATGACAGTATCTGAAGTATTGTACTTCATTTTCAGCAGCATTTTTAGTGATTAGCAAAATGACTACTGTCTCTGCCAAACCTCCCACCACTTTCAAATATGATAGAAGGCAGACAAAGAAAATACGTCATTGCACTCCAGACAGTCAGATGTCATCCTAGTCGTCGAAAAATTCACTGCAGTAACCGAAATATTTTAATTATTCCTCTGAAAATGTTAGTGAACTTGTTCTTTGACATTTAGTGGCATGTATTCAGACCAGCTGATTGAGCATTGCTCCCTCTTCCCCCCCCCCCAAACTTAAAATGTGGACACCAGCCACGTATGACCAGGATGTTTTAACAACCCATGTTTCTGGATTATAGACAGTAAGCCTTGAAATTGATACATTGTTGCCAACCACATAGTATCGCATCCAAAATCCCTGTTCCCAGATGTTAAAGCTGAAGAGCTCCTTTTCCTCTCGCTGTCCTCATTTTCATATATTTGCTTACCAGTATCCATCTCATTATAATTTTAAATATTTGCAGATCTTCCCCTGCTTACAGTCTCTATGTGATTATCAGAGGACAATTAACACTTCCATTCTGCTTTTGATGCAGTAAATGTAATTTGTTATCATTCTGAGAGAAACAGCCTGTGAGTTAAAGAGGCATGTTTCTGTTCTTCTGTGCAGAATGTGACCTCCAATCTACATGGCATATATTTTTTCCCCTGGTATAACAGTTCTCCTTATTCTTACTAGTTAGAAGATGACCCCAAAGATTGAAGACTCATTTAATAAAAAGCTTGAGTAGAATTCCCTGAGCCACGTTTAGTCTTAACCAAAGTGTGAATTTAGTAGAGTTACATCTGTAGGGATACCATGATATCATTAACTGAGCTGTTTCTGTTACTTCATAAAGTAAGTAAAAAAAAGGTAAAGCTATCCCTGTAACAGGCTGTGAAGGCCCATAGGGTTGTAAGATGTTGAGGGTCCCACATTATCTAGACAATCAGCTCAAAGATGGTAGTAAGGTTGTCAGCCTTACAAGCCGGCCGCGCTTTACTCCTCAGGAAAATTATTTAATTAATTCCTGGTACTCATTTCTCTTAGAGGCTGAGTGGACCCCAGGGCCATAGTGCAGCTGGAAGGATAAGGTCGATTGAAAAGAATCCAATGACCTCATCGGGACTTGAACCCACGACCTTCCGGCTTGTAGCATAGTGCCTCAACCAACTCCATATTCAATCTTTCAAAGGAAAAAAGTTTAAACACTTTTCTCTGTATATCTTCAAAGCACTTGATGCTTTGACTATTGAAAAGAGACTTGCTCCACTTTTTCTTAAATATGTTTCATGTAAGGAGAGATGGTAAGCCTTATCTCTGCAGTATTTACTACCATCATCTACATCTCGGCTGTGCCATAGCTCAAGTGGTTAGTCGCTGCCTTCCCACCACGGCTTCCCGGGTTCCATCCTCGATCTGGTCAAGTGGGATTTGTAGTGGACAAAGTGGCACTGGGGCAGGTTTTCTCCGAGTACTTCAGTTTCCCCTGCCAATATTCGTTCCACCAATTGCTCCACAATCACCCTCACCCATCATCTGGGGCTGGTACACCAAGCCAGAAGTGGCCACAATACAAGGGACTTAGTCCCACCCCACTAGCAATTTAAAAAAAACATCATCTACGTTGGGGACACATGGTAGCGTAGTTGGTTGGGGCACTATGCTACAAGCTGGAAGGTCACAGTTTCGATTTCTGATGTGACTGGATTTTAGAATTGGCATAATTCTTCCAGCCTTACTGTGGCCCTTGGGTCGACTCAGCCTTTGACAGAAATGAGCACTAGGAATCTTCCTGGGGGTAAAGGGTGGCCAGCGTGTAAGGCTGACATCTCACTGCCATCTGTGAGCTCATTCTCTAGAAAATGTGTGAGCCTCAGCGTCTCAACCTTATGGGTCTCCATGGCCCATCACAGAGATAGTATTACCTTTTTTCATCATGACTTACTTCAGACATGCAAAAGAAAGTATCTTCACAAACAATAGTATAATTGTTGATATAAATGTCATGCATCTATGGTGTTTAGTTTCTGAGAGAAAGGTACCTATACCTGTAAAAACGTGGGAAAATGGGCGAAAAGGTAAAAGTGCTACTTTTTTTTTCTCTTGGGGTGGGGTGAGACTGAGTTCACTTGGAATGTTTGTCAATAACTGGCCTATTGTACCAGCCCTGAATGTTAGATGATGATGAATGTGAAGCAGTCGGAATGAGAATTGACAGGGGAAACCTAAGTACTTGGAGAAAACCTGCCCCAATGCCACTTTTTCCACCACAAATCCCACACAACCTGACCTGGGAAGCTGGCGACTAACTGTCTGAGCCGTGGCACTACCATAAAGTGCTGCCATAATGCAAAGAGAAACAAATGAAGGCAAAACCATGCCAGTTAACAGTGCTGTCACTGCAGACATTTTCTACCCAGTGGAGAAATTCCCTTCAGCCCTTGGAATTATAAACCACCCTTGTTTTCATAACCAGAGGATGTATAATTGAAATGGGGGAATGCTGCTAGATTTCATTTGACAATTAATTTGGCTTGTAATGCCATTGTGTGAGATTTCAGTAGAAAATGACGTTTAATTATCATAAATCAGACTGTTAACTATGAAAATTAACAAAAAACCCCAAGACCATCTTATCACCTCTCCCTTAAGTGAGGCTGTTGAATACACATAATCAAATCAGGAAATTATAATGTTTAGATGGAATTGATTAATTTTTGCAATGAAAGGGTGAAGAGAGCCTTGTTCGCTTCTTTCCACACAACTTATGGCCAGAAGTTCCATGATCCTAATTGCATGAAGACAGCTCGCTGAAATATTTGATTTCTGAAAAAGTTTTGCATTAACTGAATCATTAGTTGGAGGGTTGAGAAAGTAATGATGTGACCAAAAAATGTAGAGATGCATTATTGAAAATATATTTTATTTTCAGTGGTTTTGGTATTCACAGGAGAAAGCAAGGGTAATCATCCCAGTATAATAAAGAAACAAAGCTCACGCTCTAAGCCTTACCTTTGATTTCAAATGGTAGAATATTCTAACAATTGTTGTTGTACCATTTAGAGTCATTACAAATGAAGTATACACTTTTAAAAAGTATTTTAAGAAACAGTTCTAAAGTTTTATTAACATCCATTGAAACAATGACCCAGTGTTCTTTTCTAAGTTAGCAAGAGATCTAGTTTAGACCCCTCATGCTATGCATCTAACAGAATATGAACTGCCTCTGGAAGATGAATTGACTGTGGAAGCCTTAACCCAAGGCCTTCCGAATCTCCAGACGTAACACCCATGGACTTTTTTTGTGGGAGATATGCTTTAATAATACACGTGTTTGCCTTATGACATTAACTGAACCTGAAACAATTTGTGAATCCATTTTGTCATATGAACAGTCACCTTGAAAGTGTGAGAACTTTCTTATATCACATGAATGCTATCTTAATTTCCAGTGGAATTCATATTGAGAGGTCATTGGATTTTTCAGTTGACGTAATCCTTCCAGCCGCACTATGGCCCTCGGGTCAACTCAGCCTCTAACAGAAATCAGCACCACAAATTTTTAGCTTCATATTGAGCATCTGAGTAGATACATTAATATTTTCATGATGCTAATATGACTTGGGCTATTGTATGTACTAAAATATTATTTAAACTTCAGCAGAAAAAAGGCTCATAACACTATGCACTTGTGTAAAATGGAATGTGCAAAGGGTTAATTTTTGTCTGTACTTCATTTGTAGTGACTGTATACTTGAGAGGAAAATTAACCATGGGTGTGTGTGTATATGCACTATAATGTACTGTAATCCCTTAATTATAACATCCCATCCAAAGACTGTTAACACTTGTTCAAGGTACATGAACTGCTCTTCGAATTCATAGGATTGTACAAGTTCTTTTATATATGAAGGAAGGTAATAAGTGTTTTAAGGGTAGAAAAACATTTCTGTGATGCTGTTTGATAAAATGTAAGTTTCATATTAAGTGGAAAACAGTAGAGAGTGCAATCCCAGTACATGACACAGTTTCCACATGTTGACTTCAGTTCTTTCCACCATGGCAGTGGCAGATGTTGTATATATTTTTATTCACTGTACATGCCATCTATTAATTTAGTCACTGAATATTATTGGATACTAGCTTGAAATTCAGTCCATCTGAACAGTTAATCTAGTTACATATATAGGGAATTTGCATGTTTTGTCTGTCTAGAACACATACTACCACCACTAAGAATAGTTCTAGAATACAATCCCCTCATTTCCACGCTTTTTCTCTAGATACCAAGGACAAAGAAACATTAAGTTGTTAATAATATAAGAACAGATACAGTATATTTTACTGTTCTCAATTGTTTACAGTTAGTAAGGTGACCTAAACTATAAATAAGACAGTTGCCCCATACTCTATAGTTCATTGTCACATAGAAGGGGCTGAAGGAATCAGTGTTAGCCTTTGTTAATGTACCTTACTTTTACAGGTGCACTCAATTGCCAGACATCACCGTTGAAGCATGCTGTGGTAGAGTTGTTACAATGAAACATTCTGTTGGCAGGTGGAAGTCTAATTAGGATAAATAACAGGCACAAGTGATTTTTGCTAATTAATAATACCCATATGCTTAACATTACAATGTATATGATAAGTTTAAGTCGAAGAAACTTGCAACATCACTGTCTTTAAATCTGCTCTTTGCACAACACTCACCCACCTAAAGAGTTAACTTCCTTCCTATATCGTCTCCTCCAAGATGGAAAACCGTATATGATTTTGAAATAATATTCACCTCTTCTGTGGTCATTTTGATTACTGGAATGTACATAAACTCTGTATGAAATTCCCTTTCATTTCCTAAGCAACTATATAGCATAGAGACGAGATAATATAAAAACAGTTCTGAGGAAATAAGGCTTGATAATGCAGATTGAACTGGGTCAGGATCCAGTGCAATGGCCACATTTAGGTGATAATCACATTTAACAATTTTTTCTAAAACCAGAAACTTGATGCTGTTTCCTTAAGTTGAAACTCAAATCTCCTTTGCTCCCTTGTGTTGAAATAATTTTATCAGGACACAGTGCATAATATTGTGTTTGGTGATGTAACTGATATAGTTTGATGACCATCCAATTATGAACAGGGCCTGGCAAACTTGTAGTGCTGAATTGTTATGGTATCTACTTAATATACCTTTGATCATTCATAGTCATACTCAAAAAATACAAGTGTCAAGTCAGCTCCAAATATGTTATGCTTTTGAAAACTTCACAAAGTTCTGCTTCTCTTACATGTTTAGGATACAGAACCTGGAGGGTCTGCACATACTGATAACTTTATTTTAATCTTTGCTTCATAATATAGTGTTTTAAGTGTCTGAAGAAATATTGAGCGGGATCCAAAGTGCATATCAGATTTGATAGACTATGTAGGGTTTGAGATTCTCATAGTGGTGGTTATGAGTTCTTTCTTCTGGGATGTAACACCATGTAGCAACAAAGTATAATGGTGTTATATCCCAGAAGAAAGAATTCTTGATAGACCCTGTTTATGAAAATTTGTTCATAGCATTGTTGTGTCATCTGCATATACGAAGCTTAAGCCTATTGGCGTGTTCTAATCCCGCATTATATGAACTGATTTTTTAATCTCTGGAGGTATTCCAGTTGTCTTGTTCCTTGAAGTTCTTAATCTAGTAATTTCTGTACAGTTTTTATTCATATAATTTTTGTTGATCTTTTTATTTTGTGTTGTATATATTTTCTTATATCCTAGTTTCCTTGTCTATTCTACAGTAACCTGCTACTGGTCTCAAGAAATTTTTCTCTGCCAATTCAGTTCTGTTAGAATCTAACATTCCCAGCCATAAAGCACAGTTTGTAAAATATCAGTTTGTCTTTTTAAGGTAGTATTCATTTAACTGTCCCACATAGGTTGTTGGTTTTTTAAGTCCAGACTTCACAAAGTGCCTATTTGACAACACTGCAGTTAAAATCCCTAACCTATTGTGTATTATAGTTTCTGTTCTTCCTGGTTTTGCCTAAAAGCCATTATTCTTGTTAGGTTGTGCAGATTTTGATAGAATACACTGACAAAGTTTCACATAACTGGTGCTGGAGCCCTTGGAGGAATATTACATATAAATTTATTATCTCTGGAAACAAAGTATTGAAGTGGAGAGACTGTATTCTGGAATCAAGTTTTAGATTACAGACATATATATATATACCTATAAATAGACTGTCCTAGGTACAAGTCGTTTGTGTACACAAAAATACCATTATAAAGTGAAGTCTGTAATAAAACTGGATTAGCTTATCAGTTGTTCATATCTATTGTAAATTTTGTTTTCACCATAAAAACACTGAAAATAAATATATAATACAAAAGAAAATTAAGATAGTCATAAAACATTTAATGGCTATATAGTTACATTTTATTGCAAGCCATTAAAATGGCAACAACTGTACATCTGTTTGGACAGGATCACTTGAATGAAATCAAGAATCATTGAACCTTAAAAAGAAGTTATATTGCATACCTACATAATACAGTGATCATTTACACGCATGTTTGAATATATATTTCTCCAACAAACCCCAATTTGGCAACAGGTTAAATTTGTTTAACACAATTCCGTTTCATTGAAGTTTGTGTTGTGTGTAATACACACATAACAAGTTCAATGATGAGATTTGAACCATATCATAGACACTCAAGTCAGTGGCTAGTATACTGCAAAGTTGGGGAGCTGTAATTTTAATAATAATAAGGGGAAAGTACAAACCATGCATTTGTTCTCTCTGCAGAAGTTTGTTAGTGAAACTGTGCACTTGCCACAAAAAACAAATTTATATTGATCACTTCCATAGAGGGCACACGTACACTCAGTTAAGCATTCTAACAGAGACCATGTACTGTCATTCTTGTCATCGTATATTCTAGTTTATATCAAACTTTCATCCACTTCCTACTTAGCATTGTGTCACCTGCACCAAATTCGTCTTCCAGTTCCATTTCTGCAGTATTTGACTGTAAGCTTCTGTGGTGGGAAGAAGCAGCAGATGTCTATTAATACCCTCAATAAGGAAGCTGTCCTGTCTCAGCTTGTGCACCAGTTGTAGTGCATCCAAAGGACTCTCATAAGAAATTTCACTTTCATCCTCTTCAGGGTTGTAAAATTGTGGTTGAACAACTGATGCCATCATCAGTACTAGGGTGGTCCTTATTTTAAAGACAGCTGTGGCTGTATAAGGATATCTGATCCAGATTATATCATGTATGGCCCTGATAGGTGGAATTTATGTTCCTTTTATATGGATTTGGAAGGCCATTCTTGTCTGTAGATGAACGCCTTGCCTGCATCAGATGATGTCTCTTGCCCAAACTTCCACCTCTTCTCAAAACCATCTCAGCCTTTTTTATTTTTTGTTGGGCTGAAAGTAGTTTTTTTCTTGTCCAGTGCATCAGTCTTCCAAACACCATCTGAAAATTTTCACTTTTCTGCATACATGTATAGAAAGAAGTCATTTCACTGATGGCACCGTGACCCCATGTGCCCAGCTCTATGTATTATATTCATTGTCCTGTATTGCTTTTTGGTATAATGGTTTCATATACATAGTTTTATATATATACAGAACTGAAGAACTGTTGAAATATCAACAAAACTGTTAACTGTCAAATTGATTCATGCTGTTACAACTTTGTTGCAACTCTATCCTACATTCCTTTCAGAGCATTGATAACATCATCACACAGTGAAGCAATTTCATGATGTTGCAAGTGCTCTGCAGTTAGTATTGCATTTACAATAGCAATAGTTTCTTTAATAGATTTAGTTTTTAGCCATAATTTACCATTCATTCCAACTGCAATATCATATGGTATTTCACTTCCTAAAATCTTCAGCATCTGGCACTTTGGGTTTAATATTTTTCGTATCAGGTTTAAGCTGCAGGTGAAAATGAAGCCACCCTCTGGGAGAACACCCAATTTCCCTTTCTTTCCATAGGAGTCAACACAAACCAATTCTGGTTCCAGGTCTCTGCTTGCCTCAAGTAACTTTGCAAAGACAATATCACCAATTTGAACGTCAGGTCTGTTCTTCTTTGTTGCTCCTTCAAAAGCCAAATATGATAATGATGCTTGTTCACTAGACCCAATATCAACTTTAAATGTATCTCCTGATCTGTTCACTACAACACCAACGACAGTGTCTCCTTTTACTGGCACATACCGCTTTCGATGACTATCCACCCAATATACATTACGCCCTTTCTTTCTAAGAACACCGCTTGTTGTTATCAAAACTTCGTCCATGTGTCTACACAATCCTGGCCCAAGTATGAGTTTTCCTTTATCATTTGTATTAGGCGCTTGAATTACGTCGCCGGGTAGAACAACATCGCCAACGTTTACTTCCATGCTCTAATAATGGTCATCCAGTGAGGTTCTTTCAGTTTCACATTCAGCTGGCCAGTTCGGGTGCAGGGTTCTGCAAATGATAAAAAGATATATACTCTAACCTCAAAATCACAAGTCAAATAAAGTAGTACTCTACAAATGAAATGGCTACATTTCTGCTATAAGTGCTGTGTTTATGTAACGAATTTTATGAGAAACTTTTTCACATGCAATTCTTTTAATAAACTTACAGTTCTCCGTAATTATGGATATCCTTCTTGACGACTCTTGACGTTGGTTAGAAACGCACATTACCTCTTTCTGTTATCGACAAATTCGTACTATAACAATACGAACCGGCTCACTATCGATCGTTAACGATGGCCTCGACCGTCTCGATTTATAATCGATAGATACAACAGATAGCTACACATCCTACAACAGTTCGAACCGGTCTCACTTATCTGTGGTTTTTGATCTTGATCTTCTTGATTGTGTTCAAGTAGTACGTGTACACCTTCACACTGAATTCCGATGTCGCTAGTGACCCTCTCCTCTTCCTCGGTCGCGATCGAAATTACTGAGTTGCATATCTATCTAGCGGGAGAAGGAAGAAAAGAGAAGAAATACCTCTAGACTTCTACAGCACGGATGCCATGTTGAACCGGAACTGGACCAACGCCAACCAGAGACATGTGGTGATAAAACTAGCAGTGCACGGGTACCACCATAAAATATGTAAAAACATCACGACCCAAGCGAAAACTGCGTGTGCTCGTTATGTGATCAGTTCTGCGATGTATCACAAGATGTAAAAACAACCATACTAGGTTGGCAACACACGGATTCCACCACAAGATATGCAAGAACGAACATTTCCACGAAGCAAATGACACGTGTGTGTAAACGCTGTGATAAAAAGTGCAGTAGATACCACATTACCATATGCAAAAACTTAAACCACATCAATAACCGAATACAGTCGCGAATAAAAAAAAACAAACAAACAATTACTCTATGCACATTGTGCGCGTTCCCTTATTATAAAACAACCATAAATCTCTGTGAGATTATAGCAAAGGCTAAAACCCAGAATCTATGTAATGCACATTCGTGCGCTTTTCTGTTAATACTATCTATGATTGATGTTGCGTAAACTATAGCCGCTAGAACCGCTAGAACTATCTCAGTAAACATTACTTTTTTTTTCTGACGTGCGGTGGTTTTGTTGTCGGTTGTAGATTGCTAAGATCGCTAAAAGCAGACAAAATCATTGAACGTATATGCTGAAGAAAACGAATGCATGTTTTGCTCAAACGTGGTCAGCTACATCGCTGAGTACAGCTGACTCATGGTTTTTCTATAGTGTGATAAATCGTGGGCATCGTGGCCGATCGTGGCTGTGTGCGTGTGTATGAAAAGGCGAATGTGTTGAACATTGGGGGGAGTGAGAGGTTGGTGGTGGTGTAATGTCAGTGGATTGCGTGCAGAGAGTTATAGAAAATGGAAGGAGTAATCGTTTGCACAGAAGCACATTTCATTTGTGCAGCATTCATCTCGGTATGACAGACCGTGTTAGGGTTGAGTGCCTGAGCTAGTAAATAATTAGCTGATGTCACGTTTTGGCATTTCGCTGAAGTGAAGTATTTTAATGTAGCATGTTAACATTTACAGTTTTAAAGAATGTCGGAAAACTTGGATAGTAATCCATTCACAGCCCTTTTCAGCTCTATGAACGATGCCGAATCGTTCGCTCAGCAACAGATTCAGCATTTATCTAGCGCTGAGAATGCAGTAGAGGTGATACCTGAAACAGACAACCCTGTCAGTAATGTGGATGATTTGACAGTATCGCTCCAAGCGAAGGAATGTTTGGAAGTAAATCGGTTAGTGGAAGATGTTTTTAACGTGACACTGAATAATCATTCCCGCAGTGGCATGATTAATGACTTAGTTTTCCTCGAAGAACTTTCCACAGCTGTAGCACCTCAAGATTGGATTGACATTGAAACCCTTGAACATGCTCTTTTTGAACGGTTGTTATTGGAAGATCCAGCAAGACAAGTTATTGGTAGAAATGTTTGTGGCAGAGAAGGATCTTCACCAACCAATATGCATGCTACTCAAAAAGAAGTCATTACATATCTATTTGAATGCCACAGAAGACTCGCTATGAAATCAGGACCTGAGAATAATTGTCATAACAAGCTTATATCTCAGATGTTAAGTTTAGTGCTGAGAAATGCAGCCACGGCCCTAAGACAACCAGCGTTATTTGAGTCACAAGAGCTCCATTCTCAGATTTTGCAGCTGGTCAGTGACAACAGCATTTCAAAGACAGACCTGTGTAAATTCTTTGATGGATTAGTTAAGCAGTTTGTGTTAGATGATGGTGAAGTCAGTGCTGTAGACACACTTTGCCTTGCATTCACCTCAACACTGGATACTATTCATAGCGATTTGACCAGAAGTAACCTTTTCACATTTAACCGCTCATACTTAAGTTTACTGCATATATTTTCTAGTAACAGTCAGTTGGGTTCTGTTCTTATAGTTCACAGCACACCAAAGGATTCCCATTTAGGCTTGACATATGCAGACACCTTACTGGGTTCAATTTTGTCTTTATCTTGCCTACCGAAAGTACAGGATGGTCCCTATGAATTTTTTGAGAAACCATCGCTGCAAGTAGCTAGTGTCACAGAAGGAAACATATGGACTGCTACTGAAGCAGTGATTGAGAATTTATACATGATATTTCATGCTTTGTTGAAGCATTCAAACGAAGTTAGACACCAAACGTTGTGCTGGCTTGCAGATTGTTTGCATGCAAATGTAGGTCGAGGAAAGCTTTGGAACTCCCATGGCTTGAATATAGGAGCATCATCATATGTTTCTGATGGATTTATGCTCAATCTTACTGGTGTTCTGTTGCGCTTGTGCCAACCATTTTGTTCAGACACTGCAGATCCTATGTTACTTCGTGTTGATCCCACATATTGTGCTTCCGAAGTCAGTGATGATGCTGAGATGCGTTCAAAGGGTGTTCACATGAAGAAGATGGCTTCAGAGACGTGCCTTATTCCAGCTCCAGAAGATACCCCTCGACCTTTGTCAGAAACATATGGCTTTATAAGTGAATGCTTTTACTTGGCACATAAAGCTTTGGATTTAGGATTCAAGGTCACATTTGAACAGTTGATGAGGTTAAATCAAGACTTGGCTCGTATTCAGCGCGCCTTCATTGACGCTCAAAACCAAGCTGGGGCAAATTCAGATGTGGTGCAAACCATTGGTGAACGTATGGAACTAGAGATGACAAGGTAAACAGTGTTATGAAATAAAAAGTAAAGGTATCCCTGTAACAGGCCGTGGAGGCTCAAAGCTTTGTGAGATGACGAGGTTCCCACATTTTCTAGACAGTCGACTCATAGATGGCGGTAAGGTTGTCAGACTTATGCACTGGCTGCCCTTTACCCCAAAGAATATTCCTGGTACCAATTTCTGTTAGAGGCTGAGTCGACGCCAGGGCCTTAGTGCGGCTGGAAGGATTAGGTAAATTGAAGAAATCCACCGCATCAGGATTTGATCCTGTGACCTTCCGGCTTGTAGCATAGTGTCTCAACCAACTACGCTACCAAATTTAAAATTAGTATGAATGTTAGTAGTTCCAATTGGGGTATGATTTGCCTACCATGATAGATAGTTTTATTGACACAGAGCCTGGCTCACCGTTCTTACACCAGATTTTACAGTGTATGAAGTTAAGTCAGTTACAAGTGAAGTACAATGAACACTCTTCATGACTTTAACAACTTGTTAGGCGTTTTGCTAAGGAAGAAAACAGGAATAAGAGTACAACACAACATTTAAGAAAGCATTATTTATTTATGAGATTGTTTACATTTACTTTAAAAATTGGAGTGTGGACTTCATGTGTTCACGTGATATTTTACTTTTCCTAGATTAGTTGATATCACATTTGGAGTCCCTGGTACTCGAAGTTCTTTCAGGTAGTAATAGTAGTCTGATTTTCAAGCAACCATTTCAAACGTGGCTGTGACTGGTGTTTTAGGACTGATTTTGTAATAAGTGAACCAAAAGGATAGGTGTGGAACAATATTGTGAGGAGCTGCCCTTGCAACTGCAGTTCTGTGTATGTGTGGACCAGCTGCTCCAAAATGGAAGCATATGTCTAACAACTGTTAACAAATTCTGTGGCAATGCCATAGGACGGGTGATTATTACTGGCTTCACAGCATGACAGCCTGGTTTAGAATCGGGGAAGTTCATGTGGGATTTGAGGTAGATAGAGTGGCACTAGGGCAAGTTTTCACTAATAGTTCAGTTTCACCTGCCAGTTAATATTATATTTCAGCATCCTGTGGCATTGATACATCACTTGTCAACTTGTCGCTAATGCAGCACTAACTATTATAAAATGTCACTTACAGTCACATTTAAAATTCATAAAATGTCACTAAAATCACATTTTATTTAATTGTTGCAACAGTATTCATTCCACCAAATACTGTATTTTTCTCATCTGTCACTTGGGGCTGGTGCAGTGAGCCATCTATGATCCAAGTACCAAGGGCTCACCCCAGTCAGAACAGAAAAGAAGAATTATAGACACATTTTTACTCAGTAAAATTTCTGATAGTTAGTGGTGATACTTTTATCCACCTAGTAGCATAGACCCATTTTTAATTATAATGCAGTGCAAACACCTTGCAGTAAGAACACTTTAGCTTCCAGTGTTTGTTTTGTACAGGTACTTGTCACTTCGTGCAGCACTGTTAGAACCTCAGTCTTTGAGCAGGACGGCACAGCTTCTTGTGGCAACTGCAGTGTGGTTGGTGCAGGTCACATTGGATGTTAATTCTGATCAGTCTCCAAGAAAATATTACACACCTACTCAGTTTAGGACAGTTGAATTTCCATTACCACAAGAGGTGCCAGCAACACTGAGGTAAAATCAGGTTTATAATTACAATGTAGAAGAAAGCTGGAATATAGGTTATAAGAATATTAGAAATTCATTCACATTGTGGGATTTGTCAATACTCCAATAGACAAACCACTTCAGAAAGTTTGTAGGCCCTGAAAAGGGCTGTTCGGCTGGGATGTTTGGCTGGTGAAGTAGGGCTGCATACGCTGGTAGGAATGATGTTGGCTGCGGTGTGTTGACTAATGTTGCGGCAGCTGAGTTAGTTGTCTGGCCACAGTGCGGCAGTTGTTGGAAGTTGCCTGGTCACAGTGCGGCAGTTGATGGAAGTTGCCTGGTCGCAAAGCATGGTTGCTAGAAGAAGTCTGGTTGCAGAGCGCGGTGTTGGGAGTGGCGGCAGCTGCGCCAGTTGCCCAGTGAGTCGGGCAGGACCGCTGGAGAGCAGAGGCAACCGTCCCTGACGCAGTGAAGTGCCGATGACTCCGAAGACTGATTACTCTGTACAAAGTGTGATAGCTGACTGGCTGGTGTGGTCACTGACTGTCTGTGGCGAGCAATGTGCTCCGCCTTTTATACAATGCATGATGGAGGAGTGAAATATGCAGAGCACTGATTGGCTAGCGCGTGTAATGATCTGGATGAGGCTAGACAGCAAGTGCTATATAAATGCGAGCGTTGGAAGCAACGTGATTGGTTAGCGTGCGTGATGATGAAAAGTGAGCAGGATAGTGAGCACTGTAGAAATAGCGTGATAGTATGTGGGATGTTCCCACAACATAATAGACTTCATCTCCATTTGCCACAGTACATAAATGCTGCTTAACTCCTCTCTCTATTCAGACTCACAGTCTGATAGTGAGTTGAGTTTGCTTCAGTATTCCAAGTGAAGACTGCCCTTATTGGTGTGTTCACAATGAAAAATTGCAAAAATTCCCTTGTTAGCTTAACACCGCTCTTTTCCAACCCACCTTTGCTTGTATCAGCGCAGTCGGAATGGTGCTATCCCTGCTACACCTGTTTCTACCTTAGGACAGTGTATGATGGCTACTGGAAGTTGTCCTCACAGATCAAACTAAGGAAGATCGGTATAGGTACGGGAAACTAGCTGGGTCGGTTCGCATGAGTCTCAGGGTAGCAATGCCGAAGAAAGCGTTTTTCTGAGAGTTGAGCCAATTGACGTTTATTCACCTGCTAATTCACCACACTGTTAAATTAATGTATTCTTAGCTTTAAGTTACAGCGTTACACTATCGGCTAGCTATGTCTCGGAGCGTGNGTCCCAGACAATGAAATACGATATTAAAGATCACGATACATTTCCAGTAATATCGAAACATAAGACTTTTGAAATTTAAAATTACGGAAAATTTAATTAGAAATAAAATTCAGGTTCATCAATAATCATCTAAATAAATAAGGGCTCAGAATGATCAGCGTCAAACTCCCCGAAGTCGTAATTTGACAATTTAAACTTGAATTGTCCAACATTACGTCTTGCAGCCTATAGCTGATCCTACAGCTTATACAAACAAGTCAAACTACACAGAACTCAAATAGAAACAACAGAATGCAAACAATACAATACAACACAATAATTAACTCCCTTTACCCTTCTAGCAGGTTGCTTCACCGCCATTGGTGAAGGAGATCCAGCACCACTCTGTATTGATCAGTAACCTGCAGTGAGTATTTAAAACACAACATCTCTGAACATCATTACAAATAAATTGTGGAACAATACACTAATCAGTAGTCTTTTCTTCAGCTCATTCATATCAAGTGCATCAAAATCACCAAGAAATGGAAGTTAATACATAATTAATACAATTGAATACATATATAATTACTAATTACTATCTGGTTAATACGAAATTCAGCAGCGTTATTGTCATTTACATGTTCACACTTGAGGCATTCAAATTACCTTTATTACACTTAATTCAAGGCCTCTTTCTCTCACCAAGTAAGTTCTTAATGATTTCACTTCGCCTTAATCTGATCAAGTTTGACTCTATTTCAGTCACATCAGTCTTATTACAATCATCGAAATCTGCTAATACTCAATTACATGACATTTTTACATAGTGAATAGGCGTTTCATGTAGCACGTCCCACACAAACTTTCATCTTACAATCTTCATAAACACTCTTATGCTCTATAATTTAATAACAGCTAGCCTGTAACATAATTTTTTTTTATGATGCCATAAACATCTGCCCTTCCTTGCTCTAAATGTACACATTTAACTTCTGATTGCAGGATAGTCTGGGTTCATGTGCCCCACTGTCGACCTTTCATCCTGCTCTCCTTTGTTACATTGTTTACAACCTAACAGTTGACTAAGGGCAGTCATGTTGCTGTTTTGGCAATAGGTCTAGTACTTTTCTACAGTAACGCCTTAACGAATACAATTCTTAGTTGCTAAATCACTGTCAACATAAAAGTGCCTGAAGATCACAATTACATAAACACATTCACTCTGTCCTTCTACTCACTGGCAGTTGAAAAGGAGAAAAGAACAAGGGCTATGAATAAAGATAGTCCTCGGTCCTATTTGGCACACTCTGTAAGATGATTTCTTACAAGTTCATAGAATTCTTATTTAATAAATTCAACAAGCAATTTGGATTAATTCAATTTATACAAGTAAGGTTTTAAACTCTGCTTATTGAATCTCCCGCGTGCCTTCCCATTAAGTGAAAATTTTCGAAAATTGACGGCGAAAAAACATCTGTTAATAAACAACGAACTCAGAGGTCTCATTGCCCAGCGCTAACTTATGTGCCCTTACAAAACCAAACAAGGAATTCCAAAAACCATACGGCTCTTCCTTATATTGATATACGGGATTCGAAGTTAAACCAATTAAACTTTCTTTTTCTGACAAGGACAGATTCTGGTTCTTATAAATCAAAGTAGCCATATCAGTAGGAGAAATAGTTCTACAGTCTGGAGTGTCATCATTAGCTTTGTGGATATGAACTTCATCTATTGGGATCCCATCTAACCTGTTACAATCACTATGCCTCAGCTTCTTAAAATCATCATCTTCTTCTGCATTATAAAACCTGCCATTTATTCGGCTAATAACTCGAACTTCATCTTCGTAAATAAACTCATCATCTTTACTCCTGTCATCATTAGACATGCTCGCGTGGGTCTCACACCCTGACATAACTGCTTCGTTTACTACTTTCACTAGCGAGGCAACTTCAAACCTGCTGGGACCTTTCCCATTCCCTTCACAAACGTTTCCTTCCAAACTATTGTTACTATGGGATCCCTCAAAACTGCTTCGAACAGCTGTAAGTGGCTCTGGTTCACTCACTGGCGGTATATGGCTTTCGGGGGTCACTGATCTCGGTAAAGTGCTATTAAGTACACACTCATGTGGCAAAGAACTACTGTCATCTACCTCAGCTCTTCTCCTCTAGCTAAATCCTTGTTTTCTCAAAATTCCATCCCGCTTATACTTGATACATTCAGCATTAAAATCTATGATGAGCCCACAATCTCTTGCAAAGTCACACCCGATAATGACTGAGCCAATTAACTGAAGAGACACTAAGAACACGTTTTCAAACATCCTGTCCAATAGCAAATTCCAAGTACACCTGCTTCTTAAGCCGTTTTGTCCTGTTAACAAATGCTGTGATGAGGACTGCGTTATTTATTCCGATTTCATACGTTGGAAACCCTTTCAATACTAATTTATTGTACAATTTCTCAGAAATCACGGACACTTCAGATCCGCTGTCAATATAGCAATCTACTGCCTGGTCACCAAACTAACTTCTACATGAGGGCAGTTATTCAAATTTGCTTCGTTTATGTAGAAGACAGTTAATTCGCCCTTATCTGAAGAGTTAAATTTATATGCATCATTGTCAGAAAAGTTCTGGGCCTGAGGACCTTGCGTTCTCGTTTCAGACGGGCTCAAATTTTGGTCCGCAACTGATCCCGTTTCTAGTTTTCCGAACGTCTGTTATTTTCATTATCAGGCGCGTTATATACTCTGTCGTCTCGGGAAACTTGACCTGAATAAGGAGGTGCGTTGGGGTCTAATATCTGTCAGTTCGCTGAGGAAGACTGACGGTCAACTTCTCTGTGTCTACCATAATTTTGCTCAGCGTATTCTCTGTTTCCCCGCCAGTTCCGTCCTCGCTGATTGTACTCGTTTGGACGCGAAACAAAAGTTTGCCTTACGAAGTTATTGTTCCCTTTATACCTATTGTATCCATGATAAGGCTGAAGTCCATGGGGATTCTGAGTTTCTTGGGATTTAGGTACACGGTTCGAGTCTTGGTAACTGTCGTTCCCTTCTATTGATTCGAGCCGTTGCAGGAAATTGACCGCATCTTGAATTGAAGTTACTTGAACGGAGGCAAAGCTTCGTTGGATATGCAAAGCGAAATGGCTCATCAATGCATTAATCAATTCAACATCTGACATTTTCGGCCGTAAATAAGACGCTAATACCGCGTATTTCAGGAAATGCCTTGATAGCGTTAACCCATTTTGCTTGTTGTACTTATCTTGGTAGATCGACTTTCTTACATTTCCTTGAGTGACCTGATTCTAATAAGCATCAGCGAATGCTGATTTGAACTGACTGTAATCATGCAATGTGTGTGAAACCGCTGAAACCCAGTCCTTGACTGTAGGGTCAGTTATGGAACGCAAAGCGATCACGAGTTGCATTTCTTTTGGCACACCCTTTAGTGCGAAATATTCATCCAACTGTTTGAGGTGGTACATGGCATTAATTTTACCACGGTCGTCAAAGTACGGCAAGGAAAGTTCAGTGGGGTTCAAACAGCTGCCATGAGCATGAGGACTCACATTACTGCTCACAAGCAGGCCCCTTGAATCAGACACATTAGCATGCATACTCTCATTACAATTGCATGGTACTCCGTGAGTGTACTCCTCTCTTTCACTGTCTTCCCTAAGCTGCTGCACTAATTTGCCCATCTTAGCAGATTCATGTTGCAATTTATCATCAAGGCATTTACTGAAACTAATGTTTTTCCTTTCGAATTTCTCTGTCAATCTCTTATTCTCCAAGCGAACTTCTTCTCTAAATTTACTGATTTCGTCTTTGACACTTCTCTCTGTATCCCTCCGTAATTTCTCGTTAGCTTCTTTAACACTCTGTTTAACACTCTGTAGTACGCTAGCTAATATTTCTTGTAGCTGTGTGTTTGCATTGACTATACTAACAGGCTCCGCTACTGTCACAGTGCTAAGATCACCCTCGCTACAAATGTCTTTCTCCCCATGCCTATCTGCTGGAGTCTGGATTCGGCCGGTCTTAGACAAATGGATTTCACTAGCATCATGTTCATGACCCACACTAAGGTTTTCTGTACTTGGGAATTCAAATTGTTCCTGTTCTCTATACGAGCATCATACTTCACTTTCACTAAATTGTGTGTGGTCCTTCTCAAAGTCTATGTTTCGACTACTTAGTGCGCGGGTCGACATTGTAAACTAACCTGGGTTGTTATACTCTTAGTGCAGTGGCTGGTTGAAATCCTGTCCCCAATTTGCGTGCGGAGTGGTGTTGCGGCTACTGGGAGATGACGTCTGGTGGGTGGCAGAAGTTCTGGCTCTGACTGTATGCACATAACAAAGTCAGAAAACCAGAGAATGGATTTCCATGAAATTTTGTATTAAAAATTTTACTAAAATGTGACATCACATCCCAGTTTTGGTCAAAGTTGAACACATTAACAGTGCTATGTTTAAATCGTTTGACACTCTTAATAGCAAGTATTCACCGATGTGGTCCACACACTGGTTGATGGCCAGACACATTTAACCAGGACATAGTCCATGAGATACACATCTCAACGAAAAGCAGGAAGTAGAATACAAGAGGAGTGCCCCAACACATTTTACACAATTTTAAAAGTATTAAAAAAGATTAACAGCCATGGGAATCTGTTCTGTTGACCATGTGACACCATCTATCCACAAAAGTTGGCACTAACTTTGCCAACAAGTGGTCGTTGCTCGGTCTGTATAGTTTGCTTGTGGGCTGAAAGCCATGAAGAGTTTTTTTTTTTCTTTTAAAAATTACATATTATATTTTAACAGGCACAAAAAATTTGATTGGGATAGTAAACTTCTCAGACGTACAGCCCTCACAGACCATATAATACTATAGTACAGTGTAACAGTTGGTGCTAATAATCATCATATATCTGAGAGTGGCCTTGTATGACCAAAATATGTCACTGAATTTACATGAGAGCATGGAGTAAGTGGTGATTCAACCAGTGGCCTGTGAAGCTGCTTTGAAGACTTTGTTTTATGTGTGTTGCATGTGCATGCATGTTGGTGAAGAAAGTAAATTGGTACAGCAGGGTGCTTAAATACAATATTAAAGTTTGTAATATTTTATTGCATTATATTTCCAGGTTTCATAATCCATTGAACTAAGACTTTCTGAGTACAGAATGTAGTTAGTTAGTTATTACAGAGGGTGGGTTTCCCCATGCACTTAGACCTGTAGTGATCCATTGTGCTTCCCTCTATGATTTCTACCAGTCTCTATATCCTACCGGTATTGGTGCTTACCATCAGTCCCGCCCAGCCAGCGAGACCGGCTCTACTGGCTGAGAAGTATCTATAATGCTTCCCCCATCTACCAGAGGTATTAGAGACTGCTGTTGGGCAGGAAACGTCCGCAATTTTGCTCGGTGACCTCCTCTGGAGATATGAGGTTCTTTTGCGTGCCATAAAGCTACGACACGGGACCCACGGCTTAAAGTCCCTCCCGGAGGACTTGTTCCCTGAATTTTTCTGCCCTTAACACATTGCGGACCGGTGGTTTAAACATTTAAATCACCTTGGGGACCAGCGTTTTTAAACCTACTACCCTAACTTGTGCACTGTTCACTTTAAAAATTAATATAAAATCTCCTAATTAATTTTATGAACTGAAATTTTTGGAGAACACTTACCAGAGCTCGTAGAAGTGCTTGTGCATGTCATATCTCTGGAAACATTCCCCTTTGTGAAGAGGCATTACGCAGAAGTTGCACATGTAGGCAGTTCTATTCTTGTTCTTGTGCTCTGCGCGCACACGGCACTGCCTAGAAGGGTGTTTCGTCTTGCAATATTCACTCTTCACAATTTTCATGAGAATATGTTTCCGTATGTCACCCGAGATTCGGCCAAGGGGGTCTACTTGAGGCCTCTGGCGGGTGCGAACAGATGGCTCCAGCTGCACTACGTCTGTGCCTGATGCAGGTACTGCCGCCACCATGACGTCAGTAGCCCAAGCTTTTGCCAGTTTCAACAGAAATGCTTTGTATTTCAAAGTAGAATTTCTGTTCACCTTTTTGAAAACCGTAAATGAATTGAAAATTGCACAGTTTATAAGCCACAGTGCAACTTTCTTNAATAATGCAACTTCAGACACGTCCGTTGGGTCCAATGGCATTTGCTTCACCCCCGGATAACCAGTAAACTTTCCCAAAGTGGGGGTTTTGTCCACTTTATCCCATGTAGCTGTCCCGACGCTCGCACTTTCAATGGAGCTCTCACTTTCACTTGACACATTTTGGGCAGCCCTGTGGCCCCCGCCACTGTCACTGTCACTGATAATGGCCTCGCTATCAGAAGACGAAGCAGTTCGCAAATCTGATAGCTCATCGGAGAACATATGTAATATTTCCTGTCCTCCGAGAGATCGCAATTGCTTTCGTCTCTGAACTGGTTGAACTGGTAGTTGCGTGGTTCGTACGTGCAAGCTTGGATTAGAACAAATCTACTTTTGTTTAGGTTGTGACAGGAAATGACTCTGGTCGCGTTACTAGATAAGGCAGCAATCATTCCCGAGGTCATCTACGCAGTAGTTACGATTCAACAAAGCCACACAGCTATATATAGCGTTTTGCAACATAACATGACCGTAGAGGGCCATATGGCCCACCCGGTCCACAACGCTTGGAAACGTAGAGGGCCATATGGCCCGTCCGGTCCGCAATGTGTTAAAAATTCGACGACCTCCGCCGGGTATTTGAACCTGCGTACTACGAGTCATGAGATGGGAACGTTACCTCTAGACTACGGAGGCCGCTTGGTACAGAATGTAACTCATTACCTTTCTAATTTTAATTAGGTTTTAGCTGACATATATAATGAATACAACGCAGATTGGTTAATAGAACTTTTTTGAAGATGTGAATCATTCGTGTTTACAGCTGTGTGCCTGAGTTCCTGATAGAGAATTTAGCCAGTTTCCTGAGTTTCATCCGTCGTTTCAGCCCAAGAACTTTGGAAGAACAAGGTTTTGCTCTCCTAGATCCCATACTTACACAAGTGCTAGTGTTCATGGGTTCTCCACAGCGGATGCGAAATCCACACTTGCGGGCACATATGGCTGAATGCTTGGAATCCCTCCTTCCACATCATGATGAAGAGCCACCTGCATTGAATCCAAACCCCCTTGGCAGCTTTTACAGAGAAAGGCTCTTCAAGGCACATCCACATAGGAAACAGGTACATAGTGAAACAAGATTTGAATCTAGGGAAACAATAGAGGTTAAAATGTAATGGAAATGTATGTTGCTTTATGTAGGAGATTATGCTCATTTTACTATAGTATGTCATGTCCTGTTATGTCATAGTAATATTTTATGACTTACTTTACACAGTCTGTTTCTGGAAACCAGGTCATAAACTGGATTGTGATAAAGCCTAGAAGTTATAATGCAGTATTATGCACCAAAATTAATTCCATCTGACAACTTTCTGTTGGGACCTGCAGTACAAAATTCCATTATAGCGTGTAAAGTAGTTTTGCAGATGAAATGTGCTGACACAACCTTCCTGTCATGCATGTATTTTGTGTATTTTGCTTAAGAAATGTCATTCATGTATTTTATGTATTTTGCTTAAAAATTATTGATATATTTCCCATTTTTGGTTTTTTGAAAAAGGTTGAATGGATAAAAATTCCTAAGATCACTTAAGAATAGTAAACTGTTCATGCCATGTCAAACAGGTAGTTGAGAGGAAGTAAATTCATCATATGTTTGTACATGTTTGTTATTTCAGATTGTTGAAAGTCTGCTGGATGTTTTTGTAGGAATTGAAATGACTGGCCAAAGTGTAGCTTTTGAACAGAAGTTTAAATATCGCCGGCCAATGTACATTTTGATGGATTATTTGTGGCAGATAGAAGAACATGCAGAATGTTTTCAGTAAGCATGATACAGCTTTATGTTCATTTATGTTTACTTGTTTCATAAGGTTTCTTATTCATTTACAATGAAATAAAATATTTCCTAACAGAAAGTACCAGTAAGGGGTAGCTTAGCACCAGAGTCATATTTCTGGATTTTCCACATTCCTGATTCTAAGGTATGTATGATGGATGTACTTGTGCCAAACTCAGCATGTGACCATTTCACAGAAGCATGTGTGTCTAATTTCACAAGTAACTGCATCGTCTACTTTATAATCAGTGCAAAATGTTTTCTTTTATCAGTCACATTAGCCACTGGGCTTGCTGCTGGCCTTTTAGACATATATTTGGTACAAAGAAAGAGATTAAGCTATTTAGTAATTGCTGCCAACTTGCCAGTTTAAATAATTGCCAGATTTCTTGATGCCATGGAAGAGGTGTATTGCCTGTATTTACTTTAATTGACAGATTCTGTTGTCCTTGATCTTTTTTGGAAAGCTGACAGATGTCAGACTCGTGGAAAAATTTTCACTTTTGTGGAATAAAAAATATGTGGATATAATAATCCAGATTCTAAACATGATGTGTTTTAATTTCATTCTCTCTATCCAAAAATGTTCTGTATGTTGTAAGAAATTTCATAAAAGGCAGTTAAAACTGCCACTTCTTAGTGGGGTGGAGACTGGGTCCACTTTGTACTGTGACCGCTACTGGCCTTTTTACCAGCCCCAGGTAATAGATGATGGTGACTGTGGAGCAATTGGTGGAATGAAGAATGGCAGGGGGAACCCGAAGAACTCAGAGAAAATCTGCCACTTTGTCCACCACAAATCCCACATAAATTGACCCAGGCTTGAACCCGGGCCACCGTGGTGAGAAGTCAGCAACTAACCGCCTGAACTAAGAACTTCCACTTAATATACATGCCAGATTTTTAACATTTTTCTGATTATTTTTAAAGAATACATCTTGTATGCAAATCACCTGCTACTAGGATTTCTGACTGCTATTAACAGAGGCTGAAAAATGCAATTGCTCAGTTGTCTCAGGCAAATGATTTTGCCTGGCATTGAGCTGAAATTGACAATAGGCATTTTAATAAGGTGTAAGTGCTATTTTTCTGTGCAGTGTAGACAGTGAAAATAAAAGTATTTTTCTGGGGTGGGAGGAATCATTGAATGCATACTTTGAATATTAGTTTTAGATTTTAGTTCACAAAGTTCAGTGGGAACAGAAGCTTCCGGCAAATAAGTTTTGAGACTGATTTTTTAAATTTAAGAGTTGCAAATATTAGCAACCTAGAATTTTTCCAATGAATCTCTCTCCAATTCTTTTCAGTGTTTCCAGTGCTTCGGCCAGTGTTCAAAACAGTTTTCAAAATCCTGAACAGGAATGTCTGCCAAAATTTTTTTTCTCAAATGGTTTAATAACCTCACCATGCAAGAAACACTTTCCTTTGAGTACAGTGTTGATTTTTGGAACAGCCAGAAGTCAGCTGGAGCTTAGCCAGGAAATTATGGCAGGTGATGCATGGCTAAGAACTGCTAAGAACTTCAACACTTGAAGCAAAGAATGTGGTGGCACGTTTTGGTGAAGAATCAATAAGCGATCCACATTTCTCCTGGCTTGCACCTCACAGCATCAATAAGCCTTTTCATCATCTCCACGTAGAAAGTTTGATTAACAGTGGTTCCTTTGGGTACAAATTCAAAGTGGATGATACCCCAGATGTCGAAAAAGCAGATCAATGTTGTTTTGTTCTTGGACTTCGACATCTGTGGCTTCTTTGGCCTGTTGGAATTCATCAACCTCCACACTAAGGACTGGCGTTAGCCTCAGGATTATACTGATAACACCACGTTTCATCACCAGTGATACATGATCCAAAAAATCATAATCTTGAAGTTGTTCTGCAAAGTCCATGCACAAAGTGAGATGTCTGACCTTTTATTCCTTTGTCAAGTTTTGCGGCACAAGCTTCACTGCTAACTTTCTCATTTCAAGATCCTGTACTAGAATTTTCATGATAGTCTCATATCAAGATCATCAGGTATCATCCTGCAAGTTAACTGGCAGCCAGATCGCTCAAGTTCCCTGATTTTTGTGACATTTTTTTCTGCTTCATTATGGGAGCAACTTGTCTTTCATCATCTTTCACGTTTTCTCTGCCTTCTCTGAAACGTTTGTGCCACTTAAGAACATAACTCTTGCTCATAGTAGATTACCTAGAAACCGTGTTTAACATCTCTAATGTTTCACATGGCGATTTCTGCAGTTCAACACAAAACTTCACATTCAGTCTCTATTCTGTCATATGCTCCATTTTCACGTCTGGACAGAGTTGATGACACAGTGATCTAATGAGCCCATTTTCAATAAATACTGAATGCGGCTTATCCAAAAATTCCATGTGAGTTGTGTCTGGTTGTGTCACAAACATTCTAAGTAACAGTTTTGCCAGATTGCCTGGCATTAAATTAAAAATGAATCTCAAAACTTATTTGACCAAGCTTGTACACTTGACATAGTGATTTCACTATATGTGAATATCTTTCTTATGGATAGCTTTGTTATATAAAGTTCATTTATATCTTCATAATGGTTTTTTATTGAACTGACATATAATGGGATAGGTAGTTGTATTCTGCTATAATTCACAGAAACCTGGCGACTGAAGCTGAGGCCAATATGGAAGCAGTCACTCCACCCTTGTTCCTAAGATTTCTGAACCTGTTGATGAATGATGCAGTGTTTCTGTTGGATGAAGCCCTTTCCAACATGGCACAGTTGCGACAGATGCAGACTGCGAGGGAGGCAGGGGAATGGCAGCAGCTTCCCATTCATGAGCGAGAACAGAACGAAGGATATTTGCAGCACATTGGCATGATTGCAAGGTTTGTATGTTTTTTATTTCTCAGCAGTTTGTAACTGGAGATAGAACTTAAGATACATAGTGAGGAAGTAGGTTGTGAGATGGGAGGTCGATGGAATTCGCTCAGACTCATGTCCATTGGTGGGCTTAGGTACTCGTGTGTTGGTTAGTTGCCAGAAATAATGGTGGGTTTCTTTATCGTTGGTGGTGTTGGTGGCGGAGGCAGCAGGAATGGTGGTGGCAGCTATTGAACTGTATAGTGCATTATAAAGGGCCTCACTTGCATAATCTCTTGTGATTATGTCATGTTTATATTATGTATAGCTTTCATTGCTATGGAACATATTGGAAACTTCCAGGTCTTTACCCTATACTATTCTTACAGTTACTGGCTATTCCTGTATCTGATTCCAATCTGTGTACACATCTCACCCATTTTTACATTTTCCTTTAGAGTAGTAGTTGTATCTTTGAAAAGAAGTCTTAGTTGCAATTAATGAACTGCCTTGAAATAATTTCCTCACAGTGGTTTAGGCATTTGTTACATTTTAAATTATTCCTCCAACCTGCAGTTTACGTTCTAAGATAATGTAATGGCATGTGTATTCAGCTGTTTTTCACCTACCTGAGATGGATTGCATTTCAAATAAATGACAGTATTAGCTTGTTACAATACTTTCTTAATAATACAAATTTTACTGTGTAACTCTCTCTCTCTCTTTTTTTTTTATTTACTTAGTGGGGGATGGAGTCCAACTGGGTCCATTTGGCACAGCGGCCACTGATTGGCCTATTGTCGCCTGCCCCAGGTGATTATAATGATGGAGAATTTGGTGGAATGAAGATTGGCAGGGGAAACCAAAGTACTCTGAGAAAACCTGCTCCAGCGCCACTTTGCTCACCACAAATCCCACTTGATCAGACCCGGGATCGAACCCGGGCCACCGCAGTGGGAAGCCAACAACTAACTGCTTGAGCTATGACGCGGCCATAACTCTCTCTTCATAAATGTTGTATTTATTTCCTCACACAGCAGGAGTATGTCAGTGTCTGTTTTGGTTATTCTTACACTGAAAATTGCAATATTTGTCTGAATGAAACAGCTTTGATATATGATGTAATGGAATGTAAATGTTGAAGTTATGCATTAAGTGATTATTTTCTTTTGCAGATTTGACAACATTTTAGGTCGTGAAACAATCCACACTCTTGAATTTTTAACATCAAAAATAACGTCAATATTCTCCCATCCGACCATGGTGGATCGTATAGCAGCAATGCTCAACTACTTTCTCTTTCATCTTGTGGGTCCAAAGAAAAGAAATTTCAAGGTACATATACAGTCACTCTTTAACTATATGAATGTATGAATGGATGTAGCAAGGAGATGTGATCAGTGTCATCAGAACCTTGATTTTACTACATTTACTGACTTTTTGGACATTATCCATCATCCCGGTTTTTATTTACACATGTTTTGGATACATACTCCAACAGTCTGTAGTAGAATGCCTAGACATCCTTTTTATCATTTTGTATTTTACTGTTTAGTATTTTTTTTATTTGAAGTGAAATATGTTGTATCAATGAAGGTGAACTATGCAGATGTTGAAGGCGATTTTTATCTTCGCTATTGCAGGTTAAGGATCAGAAGGAATATGAGTTTAATCCTGCCAAAATTGTAATGGATATATGCAAGATTTATGTTCATCTTCATGAGAGTGATTCGTTTTGCTTAGCAGTTTCCCAAGATGGACGCTCATACAGCCCTCACCTATTCACATATGCAGAAGATGTACTGGGTAAGTTATATGAATATTTACTCAGCATATCCCAGATTCAAATTTCAGCTTCACATTTTTTCTCTCCTGCAAAGCAAATGCCAGGATAGTGGCTTAAAACAGACTGACCATTTCTTGCTTTGTGTTCTTTCCAGTTTGTAACTATCTTTTTATTTCATTCTGCCTCATATCCTCTGCTGTTTGTAAAACATTGTTAAAAATATGAATAACTTACGATAATCAGGATAATATTTGTTACATTTAACACTGTTTTGGCAATGATTTTATGTCATCTGTGTTCTGTTAATAATTATGTACAGTTGAACCTCAATATTACAAGAATTTATAAAATTACTATAAGTGTTTGATGTGATGGATACTAGTAATTGGTTGAAACTTCCAGTTATTTATAATACAGTATGGCACTGAAGTTTAAATAATAATGTAATAAAGTTGTCCCTGTGCTTAACTAATTAAGCATTACATCATGAAGCCATATGGGGGAATGGATGTATAGATCCACATTTACTTGACCTTGGCACTAGTTGGAGGTGAGTGGTCAGTTTTACGCCCTGGCCATTTTACCCCCAGGAAAAGAGCCCCTAGTACCCATTGGATAGAAGATTGGGTGGGCCCCAGAGCCGGTCTGGACGATGTGAAGAAGAAAAAATTCTTGACCCCAAAGCGATTCAAACTCCAACCCCTCAAGTCGCCCAGCCCGAGCCAGTCACTATACTGACTACACTGTCCAGGCTGCCAATAATAATGTAATATAATAATAAAATAAATATATAATAATATTTTTTCAACAGGGACAACTTTACCTTTTTCTTCCTTGGAGTGATCATCACAGGTACATGAAAATAAGAAGGAATAATTCAGAATTTTCCTTGTCTTCAGCATATTGAAACTGAAGAGTTAAATATTTTCTTAGACTTGCATAACTTCTTCTTGCTCACTGACTAGTAATTAGGAGCTGTTCTTTATGAGCAAATCTTTCATGCACTATTTTCTGTGCTCCTACAAATGTGGATAATTCATGTTCCACTGACAAGTCGGATGCACATTTCACTCGTAGGTTATAACAGAATATAATGACATAAGATCAGTAGGTGTCATAAATTCCACACAGTTTCTTCTTAATACTTTTTTTACTTAAAACTGTTCATCATTTTTTTTTTTGTGAAATGGGGCTTCTGTAGATCTTCCTGAGCTATCTTAGTAATAATATGATCATTGCTGTAATGAAGTATTTTGGATTATTTTTTATTGACATAAAGCATGTTAAATATTAGAAGGAAACCATTAAAGTCAAATTGTGCCAAAGATAACAAAACTTGACAGAGTGACAGTATGCATTAAACAGTGCTGCTGTATAGTGGAAATGTTTTTAGCAAAGGCAGTCCATAAAAGCCAACTTCATCAGAAATACATAATTTCTCTTTTTTTTTTTCAGATAGCACCAGGTATTGTAATGATCATTTCCTTGTTCATTGCTGAGCAACAGATATACATTACTTTCATCATTTGATCATACTTGCATATAACAGTTAGTGACTGAGTGATTTGTCCCTCAATTAACACATTACAGATTTCAGGAATAGCTATGTTTTCAGCATTGCCACTATACACTCCATTTTACCCCATATACAGTTTCTAATCTGCCCTTGTATTAACATGCAGCTGCACATTAATTTAAATGATCTAAAATCACAAATGGGCACAAAATTAAAAATACACAATTTACATCTATAACACAGTTTCCAGTGATATGCTCTTGTGTACATTGAATCGCAATTTCACAGATTATGCTCTTTATCAGTACAGGATATTTGTTTTTGATAGAGCTGGGGACTGTGATGCCAACTGGAGCATAGGTACTTCTTCCTGCCACCTGTGGCCATACTCATAACTACAGACAGCAATTGCTCATATCTAACGGCAGAATATGAACAAAATGGCAGGGTTTAGGCCTTCTTCCTTTCTTTTTAACGTCTTGAAGTAAATTGTATAAGGTACATGAATTGTGCCTCCATCTTACTCAGGAATGAACATATGTAATCTGCAATAATTTTTACCTGGGTCCAGTCTTGTTCTTGTACACAAGTGCTTTTTAATGCTGTTACTGATACTACGTGTTTAAGAATATAATTTTCCTCTAAAAGACAGAGGAATATAGCAATAAAAAAAATATTGCTTATCAGATGCCTGAATGTTTCACTGAAAAAAATAAAAGGTAATGTGACATATGCAGAATATCAATTTTCAACTTCATTCATTCATCTGTAATCTGTCAACACGACAGGTCCACAGTCTCTTCCAGAACAGTTCCTCCACTTGATGCGATCTAGAGCTTTCTCCTTCAAATGAAAATAACCTCTTCTGTCCCCAAGGTCATCCAGCATCTTCTTACGTCTTCTTCCTCGTCTTCTTGTCACTTCTATCCGCCCCTCTATCTTTCCTTCAATAACTCCTTTTAGAAGGCGGTTACCGCGTAAGATATGACCAATCCAATTAGTCCTCCATTTTCTTATTTCGTGTAGGATATACCTCTGCTCACTGACTCTAAATAACACTTCTTCATTTCTCACATAATCGGTCCAACTGATCTTCTCCATCCTTCTCCAATACATTTCAAAGCTTTCCAGGTGTTTCTGATCTACTGCCCTAAGTGTCCAAGTTTCAGCCCCATACAAAGCGATGCTCCAAATGTAGCATTTCACTAGTTTCTTTCTCAAATTTAAGTCCAATTTGCTGGTAAAAAGATTCTTCTTCTTGCTAAATGCAGCTTTTGCCATGGCAATCCTAGATTTAATTTCACAAGTACACCTTCCGTCATCTGTTAACAAGCTACCCAAACATTTAAAACATTTCACATTCTCCAGTTGTTTTTGGTCTATCTTTATTGTGACTGGGGTTGGTTATCTCAAAATTTTCATTACTTTTGTTTTTTCCACATTCATCTCCATGCCGTAGCACCTTCCAATTTCGATTAGTCTATCAATCATACCCTGTAGCACAGTTTCTTCCTTAGCCATTAACACAAGGTCATCCGCATATTTCACAGTTTGAATAATTTGCCCTCCTAATTTGAAGTCTCCGAGCCCGTCCAGAGC